GTTTTTGCAATAAGATTCCGGAGAATATATTAAGATTATCATTTCCTAAGTTTAAAACTTGCAATAAAAATATTTTAATTGAAAAGTCGTTAACAAAATTTAAGAGTATGTGTTAGATAAAGAAGTATGGTAAGACAACAAGAGTCTAGATTCCACACACTTATGATTCAAAGTGCATTTAACTCTATTTGAAAAGAGCAATCCCTAGAGTTTCTCGCTCGTTCTTCTCAAGGAGCAGTAACTTAAATATTTCTTTTTTCACAAGTTGGCACAAGCCAGCGCCCCCGTATTGTGTAACAGAACTTTACCACTGCAGCTAGAGTCTCGTGTATTATTTGGAACGTAGATGGGACAGGCTCTGTCTCGTGTTATGTTGAGGTCACGCCAAAGTTTACGCCTCTAGCACCCCCCGAAGAACCACGTATATACATAGAGGTCAGAAGGTCACCATTGTACTATGATCTTGAAATTGTAGAATAGAGAAAACACGATTTGAAAGTTCAAAAAATATATACTCTATAATAAATATATACCTACTGTCGTTTATAAACGGATGTTGTATAGTGTAACCACATAATAATAATATGTAAATGCACCACACTAAGGGTCAAGCACTAGAAATCATACTCAAGCCCTGACTTGAGCATTGAGTAGAGTTCTGGAATACGACCCTAAATGTCAAACTAGAAATTATAGAACATGGTTAAAAATAAACATTTTACAGTTTTCGCTATATCTTCTTCTTTTAAATACAGCAGTGGATAAATATATATTATGTTTAAACAAAAATGTGAATTTAAAATAGTAACATTTTATATTTAAATAATAACAATTACATAATGGAATAATTAAGTTAACATTTTTGAATAACAACTTTGTAAAGATCGAGTTCTTAGGTTTTCGCGATTGTTACACATAGGAAATGAAACTATTTTTCCGGATTTAAATCGCGCTATATTTTTTTTTCAAACAAACCGACGTTTCGGGCCCTTTACAGGTCCCATGGTCACGGTTGACTGTAAAGCCTTAGGTACTCAAATGTATGGGCCACCTTAAAAAAATTTTAAAAATATATTGGTATACGTAAAATACAGACGTTGTGATGGCAAATTTTTCCTTGATGTAGTATCGTAGGATAGTTGGTAACGTGCTACGTAAAATAGAGTGTGAATCACGTATTTAAGTTAAAATGCGGCACGTGGCTAAAGTAGACAGCCGCGTGCGCAGAGTTATACCGTAGAATTTATAATAATAATAACGCACACACTCAACATAGCCCCGCACTAGGGAAACCCTGTGTCGCGGGTGCCATGGACACACACATAGACAACCACAAAGTACACCCAAACTCACGAGAGAAATAAATGTAGGCCATACAAATATTTGTCCCGGCCCGGGAATCGAACCTGGGGCCTCTGCATGGCAGTCCGGCATGGTAACCGTTCGGCCACGGAGGCAGTTATGCGACCATACACAATCTATTTTGAAGTTGAAATTGTTGGTGGAAATTTTAAAATTGTCATAGTTTAACATCACTTCGATGAAAGTTAATAAATGAAAAACTTGTTGAAATAAAGTTTACGTTCACAAGAACTCGAAACATTCAACAAATTCATTTTTCAGATAGCGCAACGTAAACGGAAGCATTGTAGTTAACAGTGAAGAGGTTGTAGACTGCTAATGTGCAGTGACTAGGATCACGGCAATAAAATAGAATACTCCGGTCCACATAATTTATTCCATAAGTAAAGTCGAAAGAAAAAAGAAAGGCTGTAAAAAGAAAGGCTATAAAAAACAGGTACAACGCTACAACACACTCCGTACCTAAGTACTAAAAACGTGAGACAGATTAACCCCGAAAGGGCCGAGTTATTACTAGGTTAGATTGGTATTAGAATTGGCACATGATTTAGGTTGGAAACTGGTAAAAGAATCGAAAATAGACGAGCAGCACTGCTCGCTTCAGCGATTGAACAGAGAGCGACGACGGAACGAATCAAAGTGAGAATGACGGGCAAAGGAATTAAAGAACGATTCAAAATTTGAAAACAAGTGGCCAGGAACCAGAGAAAAGGTGATAAAAAGGCGGAATGACGATGGAAGGAGGTCGCATCGTCATAACACCTTCGCTTTATGGATGTGCTCAAGAGACATCTACACACTTGCGCTATTGATCCATCAGGTGGGAGAGGCTCGCTTCACATAGGTCGTCTTGGCGGTCTACTGTCCATAAAAATGTAAAAACATTCGAACAAAAGCGAATCGAAACATTAAGCGAAAAACGCCAAATGAGTAGAGAGAGACTCAAGCCCTCCAGTACATTATACTGTTAACTCTGCAGGACTACTTTATTGCTTTGTTTATGATCGGGCATTTAAGACAAAATTCGGTATGGCGCGTCTTAATAGGGCACACGCTAGGAATTAATCTCACGGGTCGCTGTTATCCCAATCGTAAGGAGGGCTATAATTGGCTTGCATACTAGATTTCATGGTGTCGCTATCTCTGAGGTCCCAGATTCGATACCCGGCCGGGTCTATAAACTAACGTTCGAATGTTCTCTCGGGCCGGTAACACAAGTGCTTTAGTTGCTTTGGGATTCGAGGAACGTATGTAATGTTGTTGTTCAATATTAATCAAATTAAATTATAGTAAAATTTATGGTCGGATTTTTTTTTTTTGAATTAGGCCTGAAATGAAAAAAGTAAAATAACCGACCTGTCTTTTGAAAACTCTGCATTGTTTTATTATATGTAAATAGTACGAACCCTAAAAAGGGTGGGGTTGGGCTCGGCCTGCGCGTGGTCAGTACTATGGGCGCTTGATGACCTGGTTCCAGATTCGAGCCCTGATTTAAGCCAATTTATGAAAAAAACATTTTTAAGTTGGTTTTGCAGGGTATTCTGGTTATTACCCTCAGAATTAACACAGCTCTTTACTGGCAGCCATATTGAGAAATGGCAAAAAATAAATTTTGACTGGTAATTATTATTAAACACCCGTAGAGAACCCCACATGCCGATTTTCAGTAGAATCAGAGCAAATTTTTATCAACCGCCAAAGAAGTTTGTATGGCAGCCATATTGAAAAATGGCGAAAAATAAATTTTGACCACAAATTATTATTAAACACCCATAGAGATTTTCAATCGAGTTAGAGCAAATTTTCATCTACCGCCAAAAAACACTTCTATGGCAGCCGTATTGAAAAATGGCGATAAACGAATGTTAATCTCGAATTATTATCAAGCACTTCTAGAGATCCCCACGTGACAATTTTCAGTCGAAACAGAGCGAGTCTCTTTCTGTTGCAATTTTAAATTTTTTTTACGATTGAGCAACTGGAAGCCAACATTACTCGCGTTATTCGCCAACGACCAATCGAAATGCTCGAACGCGTCATCGAAAATTAGAACTGCAGAACGGACCACGTTAACTGCAGTTACGGCCAATATTTGAAAGAAATAATCTTTAAAAAATAAATGTAACGAATGGTTTTTTTGTATGATAACCCGATAAATTTGTTTTTATTACATTTTTTTTAGTTTTAAAAAATGTACCTCCAAATGAATCACCCATTATAACCAGAAATAGAGACGAAATGTCATTTCATTTGTTTGAAAACTATTCAGCCAGATCATTGCTGTCACAACTGCGCTCAGATTGACCAGCCCGAATTCGAAACAATTGACGGGTGTCGTCAATTATTTCATTTCAAATCGACCAGTTTACTTAACTTGACGAAAATTGCAAAATTACAAATTAAATATTTAATTACCGATGTAATGTAATTCCGTTTGTTTTGTAATTAGATGTTTTGCTGTTTTTTCCCACACCTCTGAATGGAACAGCCCCCATTGTTAGAGATATTATCTTTATTACAATAAATACAGAATATTTTTGGAATATACGGAGACGTATACACACGTCAAGTGATCCACGTAATCAAACCGTTACGATATCGTACCGATTTAGTCGTTGAACTGCTTTTTCGTATTCACGTGTGACGTCAACGAGTCAAGTATAAAGCCATTCGACTGGTATATATGAACCTAACTTAAATCGACTCTAAACGACAAGTCATACGTAAAATTTTGACAGTTCTTTCAATAGACTTTCGACGACTAAATGTCAAATTTTACAATCCAAGATGTCTATTGACTTACAATTATATGGACGTCGGGTCCGCGCTAAAAAGTGTCCGAACTTATAGGGCGTTAAAATCGTATACAGAGCGTCATTCACGCTTTAGTCTTCGTTTGTTCGACTGACAGCGAAGCAAGCAAAATTAGATAGTATACTGCGATGACATTACAATTTAAATTCAACGTTTTAGCTTTTTCATATTCCTTTACATGTCACTACGTGTAAATAGGTTGACTTGGGACATTTTTTTTCGTGGTTTTTGTATTAGACCCGTCGTCCATTTATTTGTAAGTCAATGAAGATGTCGTTCATTAGTTGTTACGTTTCGATTCTACGCATATCAACGTTCGTTCAAGCGATACGTGAATACCAATTTTGGATAGAACTACGATCGAACGACTACGTAACTTCAACGATATTTTGAAAGCTTGATCTTACGTGAATCACACTACATTTGTTGGCGCTGTACTATTTAAGTTTTCTAATTTGTGATTTCAGTGCAAACGAGAGTTGATGTTTAAAAGTGATATAAGGCCCATTTGCCTGATGACTTGCCAAGGATGGATGGATTATTTCGTCTCTACTTCTGGTTATATACTCGATGAATCAATATGACGACTTGAAGTGTAATTTGCTTACTTAAGAAATGAAGGTTGTTTGACTTTGAAAGAAGGAAATTTAAAAAAGACAAAGCAAAAATAAAAATAAAATACCACGAAAAATAATGAAGCAGACATAATCCAATTTTAAACAGTCAACACTCAATTTAAATAAACGTCATGTGTGTGGCGTATATAAGAGGGTCCACATAGTTAATGTCACAGCTGAGTAAAGTCTGTGACTCTGATTTTCAGTGGACCCTAAGCCCGAGTGAGTACCGCTTAAAATGTAAATGTGAAAATTTATTTATTAAGAATTTTTGGATTATTTTTCACCACTCTCCAGTAGTTTTGTTATGATTATGAATGCAAAGGTCACACATACAGGAAAAATTTTTTCGTTTAGATGTTACTAACGACGATAAATGCCGAAAAGTCAGTACAAAAATGTATAACAAAAACACATAGGAGAATTTGTACGACTTGGTAACTGGACCCGTGGCTAGAGCTCAAAGGTTTGAGCAATGCTACGGTGCAGCAAGGACGTGGTTTTTTCTGTGCGTTCGAACTTTGTATTTGGTAAAAATAATTTTTATTTCCTCGATATTTCGTCATTCCGTTAGTCACACAGTCAACCCATGACCATGGAACGTGTAACCGTTTTGAAATATTAGGAAAATAAAAATAATTCAAGCCGTCATTGACCTACCAACAAAGTAAGTGATAAGAAATGACGACCGAGTGGACATCTACCGGTCGGACGTTCTACGTACCGCGCTGCAGAGATGAAGTTTAAAAAGACCTGAATCACTGCATTTTTTTGCACGTCTAGAATATTTTGTAGCAAAACATGTTTGTACCGATTCTTCTATTTGTTATCTTGATCACCATGTTTCTAGCAAATAAATAATTTGATTGATTGACTGCGCCATCGAAGTAGGTAAGTAGGTACCATGGTAAGAAACTTGTAAACAAAAAAGCCGTGTTGACCTGACGCTTTGATCTATACTGCCTCTAAAGCAGAGGCCGTGAGTTTGAATCCCGGCTCGCATCGCCAAGTTTTTCGGAATTTATGTGCGAAATGTAATTTGAAATTTACCATGAGCTTTTCGTGAAGGAAAAATATGCCATGAAACCTGGACATAGAGGAAGGTGCAGATCCTTCGGAAAACGTGTTATGTCCCCAAGAGGAGACCCGTACCCAGTCGTGAGACTTTGGGTAATGGGTTGGTGATGATTAACCAGTTAAATTTTAAAATCTATATCATCCATCATGTTGTTTACATACCGTTCCTCCATCAAGTATACCAAGTAACCGCGAGAATTGCAAGCCCATTACGATTCTATGCAAACTGCAATAAATAACGTCCCAAAATCTATAGTGGGACCCCATAATATGACTCCCGCCCTGCAATGAAGCTTCGATAACAAATGGATTTCGTGTCACCAACCCTCATAATGTCGTTCACAAATGTTTAATAGGCCATTTCAATATCATTCAAAACGTAGAACAGACACGGTAGGTAGTTTTATGCATAAGTTGTTTTATCTTTTGATGTTGTTTGTGTTTAAAAGGATGGTGGTACAATTTTTAACACAGAAAAATATAGAAATAAGAAAAATAACAAGAAATACAATGATAGTGCAAATATACAAAAAAATATAATTACGACTTCGTCGAAAGAAATCCTCTAAACACCGCAGATTACATTCGCCTTAAAAGATAAAAACAATGTCTACCTATTTTTAAGTCTTTTTATTTTATTTTGTGTTAAAGTTCGTTCGTGGCAGAAGGAATGAATGGCATCGAGACAAACCCAAGTAAGGTTTGACGGCGCTTTAGAATATCTATTTATTCTTATTTACGTAAATCAATAAAATAAAATAAATAAAAAACAACATTCCACTACCTCGATTTCGGGTAACTATGGGTAAGACCAATTGGAAATTAATAGGAATTGGTTCTAGTTTGGTTGTACTTAATAGTGACATAGAATGGATTCCGTTGTTCTTAGTGATACTAATACTACATAAAATTCCCTAATTTTCATCATCATATAAGGACTGACTTCACCCACTGCTGGGTATAGGCCTCCATGTTTTTGTGCCACTCCCCACGGCCCTGCGCTAGTTTCATCCAGGTTCGCCCCGCGAAGCTTACGATGTTGTCTGCCCATCTCGCCGCTGGACGCCCGACATTTCAGTCGCCCGACAACTGCCTCCGTGGCCTAACGGTTACCGTGCTGCCACACAGAGGTCCAACATTCGATTCCCGGGCCAGGAGAAAAAATTGTATGGCCTATATTTATTTCTCTCGTGGGTTTTCGAAAACAATGTTCGAGTTTCGGATAGGTTACCATTTTCAACATTATTCACTACAAATTGTGTTCATATGCTCACCTGTCTACGCGGCCGAACGGTTAGCATGCTGTTCTGCCACGCAGGGGTTCCGGGTTCGATTCCTAGACCGGAAGAGATATTTATTATGGTCTACATTTATTTCATTATCATTATATAAACATTACCAAGGCCACTAAAATCCGGCTGGTCCGAACTCTGGTTTTCCCTTTATTTCTGTTCGCTGCAGAGAAAACGCTCCGTGAAAACGAGAAGAAGAAGATAGACGCTCTGGAAATGTCGTGCTGGAGAAGAAGGCTTGGGTATCGTGGACAGAATTTCGTTCAAACGCCTCCATACTCCAAGAACTCAGCATCAAGCAGCGTCTGTCTACTGTAAACTCGCATCCTAAAATTCTTCGGTCATGTCTCAAGACGGAATTTTGACTCCATATACCGTCTTGTTGTACAAGGCAGAGTGGAGGACACTAGACTGCGCGGAAGGTCATCCATTTGATGGACTGATCAAATAAAATCTGCAGTGGGCAGTCCTTTACATGAGTGCACGAGGGAGTCCACCAACATAGAGAGATGGCGAGTAGTCGTGAGGCAAGCCACATCAGCCGTCAACAAACGTATTCCGTGATGACTACGACCACTCTGTCAAGAGTGATATGAAAGAGAAGAAGAGACATTTATTTCTCTCATGAATATGGGTGTAATTTAGGATTGTCTATATTATGCGTGTCCATGACACCCACGATATACAGTTTCTCTAGTGCGAGGCTATTAGTGTGTATTGGTTATAAATAAATATATACGTTACATTATGGGTAGGTTACATACACACATAGACAACCACAATTTACACCCAAACTCACGAGACATAAATGTAAGCCATACTAATATTTGTTCCGGCCCGGGAATCAAAAGGAGAAAATGTTATAAATGTTGTATATCTACACTTAGAAGCCTAGCCTTATATGGCGAACACCTACTTACTTTAACTTTGTTCACTTACAAAACTCCTGGTGTAATTAATTATTTATCAGCAGAATAAGTGGTTTTTTTTATAGGAATGAAACTATTTTTCCGGATTTAAATCGCGTATATTTGTTTTTTCAAACAAACCGACGTTTCGGGCCCTTTACAGGTCCCATGGTCACGGTTGACTGTATAACAATCGCGAAAACCTAAGAACTCGATATGGTTTTTTTTATTTAAAACTGTGTGTCATTAAAACAAAATAGGAATTACTTTAGCGTCCACGGCTACGTTTAGGTAAAAATCACACAGTTGTCCTCTGATCTGTCCTTTATAATGTTGTGAAAAACTCGACGACTAGCAGTACCTACCACGAAAATATTAACACCGAACATTTAATTTTTTTTATGTGACGGGACGAACTAATTGTGGGCCTAGCAGTTGCAGTGCCACTCAGAGAGACTCACACTTTAAATCGCAAAGATCTGAGTGGCACTGCCACTGCGCACGTTACCCTGAGACATAAGTTGACAAATCCCATGTGCCTGTAATTTCACCAGCACCTGTCAAACCTTTAAACGCAGTCATGCTCTTAGAACTGCGTGGCGGCTTTATGATTAAACGTCAATTTTTGGATTTTATTATGTAATACATAATAAGTAAGTGAATTTTAGTTCTATTCTCCTTTTTATGTATAAGAATCAGTTGTAATTACGTTTCTGTGTTACTATTATACATATATCACTCGAGTAAACCGGAACGCAGTAACGCTCATATCATTGCTTGGCGGCTGAAATGAGTAAGGTGGCAGTATTTCCCTATCCCTAATGACTTAATTTACTGTAATAAGTATTAATAATGTAGGCTTTAAGTAATCCAAATAGTTTGTACAGATAAAACGGTCGCCGAATACTAAGGGCCTCTTCAGAACTTGTGCATCACAGCCCACGTTGTTCCTTATTTTACTGCCCAACCGACGTCCAGCCCCATATCTTTCTACATTAGTTTTGATTATAGTCACCCTACTTACCGACCCTTAGGATTTACGAGAAGGGAACTATAACCTGTGCGCGCACAGGAACCTTATAAGTTCAGGTCTTGACCCCATATCAGCCAGTATACAGGGTTGTTCCAGACCTCTGTCACTTCACTTCATCCGGTTCTTCGAGAACCTCTTGCCTCGGGTGAGCCGCCCCGGGTGCACGTACAGTACCCTCCCTATTTTCCAGATAGGTACCGGAGCTGTAGGCACGCTCACTTCCCGTTGCGCATTGCACAAGTAGCAGTTGCCATCGCTAAGCCGTCGACTCTGAGTCCACTACCAAATATCCTCATTGGTGGCGGAGCTGTAATGCACGCTCACTTCCTGACGCCGAAAAACGACGTCTCTCCAGTTCCCAATAACCTAAGCGGCTGGAGAGACCGGAGGATACCTAGCTTATCCTCTACTAGCTCTTCGGGCTAGTGCCGGAGATGCCAGTCGCAGTGCCCTGTGACAATGTCCGGACATGGCTTCCAACTTAAAGGGCAACTCACGTGTCCCGCGCATCACCTCGCTTCAGATCCTTGACTAGACTTAGTAGCGACTAAGACGCGCTAGCTGCTCATGAGACAGATACCCCGGCCACACCCAACCGGGGCAGACAAACATGTCCGTTTCTGCAGCTAGGCACGGACCACAGTCCGTACCCAAATCCGGGCCCATCAGTGATAAAGGACAGAGCAAAGGCATATCACTGTCTGAGGGCTTGGCTCGGACGCCTGCTGTACCCTGGTCTTGCCATCGAGCCCATTGTCTCTCTGGAAAACCATATTTCTCGGGTCGGTAGACAGGGACAACCAACGACCACACAAATAACGCTTAAACTCAAAAAAACCCTAAAAGGTCAGTTTAAAACCCGAATAGAAAATGTTTCCTTTTTAGGTTGCCAATATCATCGGTAATACGATAAGATAAACTAAAACCAGATAAAATGTATCGTGACCGTATTTTTTTTATTCAACCTACGTATAATCTTTATGTTATCTAATACCTGTTACCCGTTATAAACAAAAATTGCATCATCAATACCTGTTGTAATCGCTTTCAGTAGGTACAATTTTTTCAATTATAGGTACTACATATTACAATTTGGGTACATTTTTTTGGTACTAAATTTGTCACGATTCGTTAAGATACACCCTTCTGACATTCAACAAATTTAGTCTTATTTCTCAGGAACTAATCGGCAAACAATTTTTTTAAATAATAGGTTTTTATAGTAAGTAATTAAATAAAAATTGGTTATTTCAGGTACTCCCGCCATGTTGACTGTCAATATGGCGGGTGTACCTTTAATATTGCTATAACTTCGTTCCGATGGAGGTTTTTTAAGCACAGGTACTAAATAGTACAATTTAGGTACATTTTTTTGATACTAAATTTGTCAGATACAACCGCCATTCTGACTCTCACCCGTCTGTAATTACTGCATAAATCATGTAAATTGCTTTTATTCTTTTTGTTTATCTTCTATTATTATTCCTGTTTTTTGTTTATATACAAACACAGTTTGTTTGTGTTTGTACAATAAACAGTTTCCTTTCTTTCTTACATGTTTCGCAATGTACGTAGACGCTCGTTGTATTCAACAGCGCGTGCATATTGTCTCGGTCCGCCCGTACCTTTTACAGTGCTTGGGCTAGCGTCTGTTTGCGATTTCAACATGTGGATCTAGCCGCTTCGGTACTGTGAAAAGGGATGACGCCAAGACCCGCGTTTCCGTACCCGCCGCCGTGCCTGCGCCTTCACTTTGAGTTCAATACGGGTGCGGGCACAGGCAGTGACGGCAACGGCGGCCAGCAACTACCCTCGTTTGATTCATTTTTATTAGTCAATCACAAGATTGCACACTACACTAAAAACGTCACTTTCCAAAGTCTCATTCACACTAACAATTGCGTAGTACCTAACGCTGTTGTCTCATGTTGGAGTACACGAAAGGAGCCTGCCTCCGCGTACGACGTACATACAGCGCAATATAAGTTTCCGGAACTGGCCACTTACATAAACAATATTTAAAAAGTAATTTTGTAATTACTAATTATTCAATGATGTCATTTGAAAATGGAACTCTTTGGGTGTAGAATACAGTTTGTTTCATCTGATTGTCACTTGTTTTTACATTGTGGCGTCATTTTAAAAATTGCTTGTTTACATCATCATGGATTTAACTCGTGAAAATTTTCGTAGTATGATTTTCTACGACTTTAAACCATATTAGTTTTTATTTCTTGTTTAGAAGACAACAATGGCGAACGTGCGAGTGTGTGAAGGCCTCTTGCAAGGAGAAGTTGTGCAAAATAAGTACGGCAAATCATATTACAGCTTCAAAGGAATACCTTATGCGCAGCCGCCGCTGGGAAACCTGAGGTTTAAGGTACATCCTTAAAATTTTGCTGTATCATATCAATTTTATACAAATCCAACAATATTATAGAACAACAAAACATAAAAAATCATTATTATCAGTAATAACGACATATGTGCCACTGGTAACAATAACAGTGACATTTTATTTATATTCGCTTCCAGGCTCCACAGCCGCCTAAGCCATGGGAAGGAGTTCGAAAAGCAACTGAGTTTGGGCCTATTTGCTATCAAGTAGATTTTTTCAAAAAAGATGCGCCTTCAGGCAGCGAGGACTGTTTATATCTCAACGTTTATACTCCTGACACCAAACCAGACAAACCGCTGCCTGTTATGTTCTGGATTCACGGAGGTGCTTTTTACTGGGGAAGTGGTAACGATGACTTTTATGGCCCTGATTTCCTTGTCAGCCACGATGTGATACTAGTGACTATAAACTATAGACTAGAAGTATTAGGCTTCCTTTGTTTAGACACCGAGGATGCGCCTGGCAACGCTGGCATGAAAGACCAAGTTGCAGCACTGAGATGGGTTAATAAGAATATTAGTCATTTTGGAGGTGACCCCAATAATATTACAATTTTCGGTCAAAGTGCTGGTGCTGGCTGCGTTGGATATCATTTGATATCGCCAATGACTAAAGGACTTTTCAAACGAGCAATACAGCAGAGTGGAAGTTGTACTTGTCCATGGGCCCAGGTTGTTGAACCTCGGGAGAAGGCTAGAGAGTTCGCAAAGAAATTAGGCTTGGATTCAAATGATGATAAAGAATTGTATGAATTCTACAAATCACAACCCATTGAATCGTTGATTTTAACCAATACGCCTTCAAATGACTCGGAAGCCGCAAAATCACCCAACGCATTGAAATGGTCCGTAGTCAGCGAAAAACAATTCGGTGATAATGAAAGATTCTTTTATGGCAATGTTGATAAAGCGCTCCGTAACAATATTCATGTTGGTGTAGAAGTTATGGCTGGATATGTTGAAGATGAATTTTATGGTATAATAGGTATATTGGGACTTTATCTCGTTCCAGTATACATAAAACTGGCGAATGAATCACCAGAGTTCTTTGTACCGACGAAAATAAGTGCTAATAGCCCTAAAAACGTACAGTTGAAAGTTGCAAAAAAAATGCGGGAATATTATTTAAAAGGCGAACCAGCTTCGATGAATAACTTTGACCAAATCGCAAAATTCTTAGCTGTTGATTCATTTGTGTACGGAGTAGTTGAAACACTGAAGTTTAACAAGAAGAAAAACAAAACTTACTCTTATAAATTCACTTGCAAATCCGAAAGGAACCTTTACAGTAAATTGTACCAATTGGAAAAAGTTTTTGGAAATAGAATGTTTGTCAGTCATTGCGATGATTTGGCTTACCTATTTGAGCCTAATTACTTGAAGCAGGAACTCGAAACTGACTCAAAGGAATTCAAGTTGATCGAACAAGTAACAAAGTTGTGGACAAATTTTGCCAAATTTGGGTAAGATAACTTATATCATTCGTCTTAATTAACTTTTAGATGACGACGACGTTTACAATATACAATAGAAAGACAAAGTTCAAAATTAATATTCCTAATTTAGTTAACAGAATTTCATGACATTATCAGTTATTTTATTGGCAAAAAATTAAACAAAGTCACGCAAAAGACAAACTAAAACCTACAGCACTTACAACTTTGGAGCTTTAGACCGTTTTAATAATGCATGGTTGATTATAAATCTTAAGTTCGTATATTTAGTTCTCGTGTATCACATTTTAATTTATTCCCCAGAAATCCGACTCCAGATTCTGAGCTGGGCGTGCAATGGCCTGAGTACTCGGTGAAAGGCAAACACTACTTGGATATCGGAGAAAAGCTGACTGCAGGCACTGCCCCAGACGGAGAAGAGATTCAGTTCTGGGAAAATATTTTAAAGAAATATAGTCCATAAAAGTAGTTTTAGAGTACGCGGACTCCAAAACGAGTAAATTGATAACAAAACAAAATACAAATTAAATATTAAAAACACCAATTACTCCATTGACTTACAATTATATGGACGTCGGGTCCGCGCTAAAAAGTGTCCGCACTTGTAAGGCGCTAAAATCGTATACAGAGCGCAACACTCCGCTTTAGTCTTCATTTGTTCTACTGACAGCGCGATACTGCGATGACATTACAATTTAAATTTCGAATAGGTTGACTTGGGACATTTTTTTCGTGGTTTTTGTATTAGACCCGTCGTCCATTTATTTGTAAGTCAATGAATTACTCAAATTATTTATGTATGTGATACATCCAGTGTAAGCTGACACACGGCTCGATATTAGTGGTCATACCATGCGTCCTAGCTAGTAATGTAATTCATCGTGTATTCGTTTTTGCCTTATTATTAATTTAATCAATTGTTTTCTTTTTTAAAAATGGCGGAGGCTTTATGATGCGCCCTTAGATAATCCACATAAAACTAAAAGAACTTACGTATGATCTTTTCGATAAATTTTCTATAGTTAAAATAATATGTTTTATAATTATGTAACAATATACGTCTAAGATACGTGTTATGCAATTTTTATCAACTGTTTTTTGTAGGAATATTGTGCTGCAATATTATCTATCTACATCGGCATATATGTATTTTTTGATATTAAGCTGCCGATGTAGATAAATATGTTTCTATCAGTAATATTAAAATGGTGTGTAAATATAACAGTAATAAATAACTATTATTCGAAAAATTACTCGTACAATGTACACACATAATAACTGCATCCATGACTGAGGTCCCAGGTTCGATTCCCGGGCCGGGAGAAATATTTGTATGGCCTACATTTGTTTCTCTCGTGAGTTGGGTTAGGCAGCATATTCATTCAATTAAAGTTTTTGTAATCGATTAATGAATCGAAAATTTAATCATAATCGAACGAATATCTAAGTGTAAGGATTTGAAGGAGGATTTAAAATTAGATTTCGGTAACTTTAAATTTGCTATATAAGATAGAAGATGGCGGGTGGAGAATAGGTTATGTAAGAAAAAAAATCTAATTTCATGTTTTTGAATCATATATTTTTTTATAGTAAGTAATCAGCAACGAAATCGCAAAACCCATTTTATTATGTAAAACCTAGTTATTCCAACAAATTCAATTAAACAAATCGATTCATTCAATTAGTTTATCGATTTGTGGTTGGCAGTACCGTTGGCCGTCACTAAACTAGGGTCGGGTCAATGGTCTGCTTGTTTACTTTTCTGGTACAATTGATTGAATAAGACTATAGTTTATGTATTTCTCATAAAATCGAATGCACCCAGTTACTAACTAAATAACTTTAATACACGTGTCCCAGTTAGATTTTCTCGGAGTAAAATAACTCCTCTGTGTCCACCGCTACGAAAAACAGTATTTGGATCCAATTCTCCCACCTAAAGACTAAACAAATGGGTAAATGAACATAGTGACCGATTTGATATTCATAGTGACTCATTTAGCAGGATACGTTCCGTTATACTCTCAATTAATTGAATATGTACTTTTTTCCCTTTTTTTCTTGCAATTTTTTCCTTTACTCAACAAGTACTTACTTTAATATTTGAGTAGTTTTTTTTTTGTAGTAAGCCGAATGTAATATTATATTACTTTCACTATTGATTGTTGCTGTTGTTATAATGATTGTTGATTTTTCCTTTTACTTGTTGTTAAATCATGTTGTTAATTTAATAGTCTTTCTATTAATGCAAGTGGTAGTTACCTGTAACTGTTTGATACGTTTAGTTTAAGGTGTTCCTAGCTTACGTAATTAAGATTGTAATCAAATGTTGGTAAATTTTAAACCATTAAATAAATAAACTCTAAGAAACCCTAAAAGATCTTACAGCTTAAAACCCGCACAAAAAATAAAATTTCCTTTTTAGGTTGCCAATATCGTCGGTAATCTATCTATCGGTGATCCGATAAGATAAACTAAAAATGAGTTAAACCGTATCGTGAGTAATATCTGTATTTTTAGATACAATCTTCGTGTAATACCGGTAACCCGTTATTTTAAAAAATAGCATCATTAATACTTGTTATTCAACAAGTATGTATGCTAATAAAATACTATTTTTCTATGTTAGCTTTCGGACCGCCGCAGTTCTGTCTAACTTATTACCGCATTGCTCGTCATTTCATTTCACTGTAGTATAAATTTTCGGCCCAAAAGAAACACCAGCACAGCCCGCGTAGCGAAAGCGCTACGGTATTGCTGTGACATACAAGCTTTGCATTTTTTGTCCAGTTTTATCGGTTACCGGTATTCAAAGATAATTTAAATAGATGTTATCGTCAATTACTTGAAGGTAAGGCAGTGGCACTTTTTCTATTTAAATCAATTTGATCGTAGATTGCGGTAATCAAAGGATTTGTGCAGTGAAATTGCCATAGGGTTTCCATTAAACACCCAAAATCTAATAACACAAATTTCCTATCAACAAGAAGTTATTTATTTTGCTTGCCAATTAACAACTGCTTAATATGAACTGAACTAATGAATAACTCACTTATTTAAGTGGAATTTTTTCAAACCAGTCCGTAGCCCTTAACTATGAGCCGACTCGGCCTCTCTCCTCCTAACGCACGAACTAATGTCCAGTAGCGGACGTTATTCGTCTGAAATTCTGAAGCGAGGTTAGGAGGCGGTAGTTTTCTATTTAAAATTGCTTAGTACATAAAGTTCTACCTAAGGAAATTATTTAATAATTTATTACCCGATTGTTTAAAATACTATTCAAATTATTACTTTTCCATATTTTATGATAAGCCCACTAAGTTGGCAATATCACGCTGATAGCGGCTGTCCTCAGTTTTCGGAAAATCATACTTCTTTTTAAATCATGATCAGAAGTCAACAATGGCGTACGTGCGAGTGAGTGAAGGCCACTTGGAAGGAGAAGTTGTGCAAAATAAGTTCGGCAAATCATATTGCAGTTTCAAGGGAATACCTTATGCACAGCCGCCGCTTGGAAACCTGAGGTTTAAGGTACGCTTTCAACATTTTGTGAAATGTTTATACAAATTAAGCATAGGCATAAACTTTTTACTATTGTGTTATTACTGATGTTATTTAAAATTTTGGTCTAAGTAACTATTTACTTGCATTGGTGTCATATCGGTGATAAGAAGCCAAACCAAAGTAAGTAAATAAATTTTATTTGCTGTATCATATCAATATTTCACAACACCAAAACGTTTTTTACAATTGTTATCGTCTGTGCTACTTGTAATAATAATAGTGATATTTTATTTATATTCACTTCCAGGCTCCACAACCGCCTAAGCGATGGCTAGGAACACGCAAAGCAACAGAGTTTGGGCCTATTTGCTATCAAGTTGATAGTTTCAAGAAAGGTGCACCATCTGGCAGCGAGGACTGTCTGTATCTCAACGTTTATACTCCTGATACCAAACCAGATAAACCTTTGCCTGTTATGGTCTGGATCCACGGAGGTGCTTTTTACTGGGGAAGTGGTAACGATGACTTTTATGGCCCTGATTTCCTTGTCAGCCACGATGTGATACTAGTTACTATAAACTATAGACTAGAAGTATTAGGCTTCCTTTGTTTAGACACCGAGGATGCGCCTGGCAACGCTGGCATGAAAGACCAAGTTGCAGCACTGAGATGGGTTAATAAGAATATTAGTCATTTTGGAGGTGACCCCAATAATGTTACAATTTTTGGTGAAAGTGCTGGTGCTGGCAGCGTTGGTTATCATTTGATATCGCCAATGTCTAAAGGACTTTTCAAAAGAGCAATACTACAGAGCGGAAGTTCCGCTTGTTGGTGGTCCCAAAGTAATAAGCCTCGGGACGACGCTATAGCGTTAGCAAAAAAACTGGGTTTTGATTCTAACGATGATAAAGAACTGTATGAATTCTACAAATCACAACCCATTAAATCTTTGATCTTAACCAATGCACCTTCGAATCAAAGTGCAGAAGCAGCTGACGCAGGTAAAAAATTTACAATTGTCAGTGAAAAGGAATTCGGTGAAAATGAAAGATTCTTTTATGGCAATGTTGATGAAGCGATCCGTAACAATATTCATGTTGGTGTAGAAGTTATGGCTGGATATGTTGAAGATGAATATTTTGGTATAATAGGTATATTGGGACTTCATCTCGTTCCAGTACTCATAAAACTAGCGAATGAATCACCAGAGTTCTTTGTACCGAAGAAAATAAGTGCCAATTGCCCTAAAAACTTACAATTGGAAGTTGACAAAAAAATGCGGGAATATTATTTAAAAGGCGAACCAGCTTCGATGAATAACTTTGACCAAATCGCAAAATTCTTATCTATTGATTCATTTGTGTACGGCGTAGTTGAAACACTGAAGTTTAACAAGAAGAAAAACAAAACTTACTCTTATAAATTCACTTGCAAATCCGAAAGGAACCTTTACAGTAAATTGTACCAATTGGAAAAAGTTTTTGGAAACAGAATGTTTGTCAGTCATTGCGATGATTTGGCTTACCTATTTGAGCCTAATTACATGAAGCAGGAACTTGAAACGGACTCAAAGGAATTCAAGATGATCGAACAAGTAACAAAGTTGTGGACAAATTTTGCCAAATTTGGGTAAGATAACTTGTGATTTATCATTATTGACTTTCAAATAACGATGACGTTTACAATATACAATAGAAAGATGAAGTTCAAAATTAATATTCCCAATTTAGTTAACAGAATTTCATAACATTATCAATTATTTTATTCATACACTCATACACTCAAAAGGCAAACTAAAGCCTACATACAGCACTTAAGACGTTGGAGCTTTGGTACGTTTTAATAATGCATGGTTGAATATAAATCTTAAGTTTGTGTACTCTCGTGTTTCACATTTTAATTTATTCCCCAGAAATCCGACTCCTGATTCTGAGCTGGGCGTGCAATGGCCTGAGTACTCGGTGAAAGACAAACACTACTTAGATATCGGAGAAAAGCTGACTGCAGGCACTGCCCCCGACGGACAAGAGATTCAGTTCTGGGAAAATATTTTCATGAAATATCTTCCGCAAAAGAACATTCAGAGTACGTGGACTCCAAAACGAGTAAATTAATAACAAAACAAAATACAAATCAAATATTAAGAATACGAATTAAACTTATTTATGAATGGCACACATCCAGTGTAAGCTGACACGCGGCTCGATATTGGTGACCATACTATAAGCATTCTAAGTAGTAGTGTAAAGGGTAATCATCGTGTATTTGTGCATTTGTTTTCTTTTTGACCTTGAATAATGCACATAAAACTAAAAGAACTTACGTATTATCTTTTCGTTATGTTTTTTTAATCAAAGTAATATTTTTATAGTTATATATTCGTGTTGCATATCTATCTATCTACATCGGCATACAATGTATTTCATCATTAAGCGATGATGTAGATAAATGCTTATGTTATTATCTAAATCATCGCTATATGTTTATCTCGCGACATGGGCTTTGTGCAATAGCTGTTTGTGTATATTCGGTATTGTGCAATTTAAATTTACTATTTAAGTTGATTATTTTTTCAAGTGTAAATGTTGTATGTGTCAAATTTAATTATTTTTTTCATGAGTAAATGTTGTAATTGTGGTGTTCTATTTTTATGACAGGCCACGGCAGAATATCAGCGAGGGCTAGGTAATTAGCATGGTCCTCAAATGCTGTGTCATGGACCTTTTTGACATGCTTTTTTTGTTTCCTTATTTGTTTTTTTTCTATTATTATTATTAGATTTCCTATTTTTTCTATTTTTTTTTATTATTTATGAATGAATTATTCGATATTTTATAATTGTTTGTATTTTATAATGTATTTGGCATATCAAATAAATACGATTTTTTTTTTTATGTTAATAACAGTAATATTAAAAAGGTCGTAAATATTACAGTAATAAAAAATTACACTTCCAAATATTACTCGTCAAATACAAACAAACAATTTACTAGTAGTTGTTATTACTAATTGATGGCAATAAGCAAGTAACGCGTGGCTATGCTCCTTAAAATGTAGCTTGATTAGAATGATACGTAACAAAAAGGTCATGGTCGCCTAATGGTTTGACCTACCGGCTCAAGCGGAGGACCGTAGGTTTGAAGCAGCTGTTACACCTCAGAGTTTTTGGAAATTAAATTTGAAATTTACATGAGCTTTTGAGGAAACCTGCACGTCGAAGAAGGTTCACAATCCTCATTGGGTCAGCGTAGCGGACTATGGCCTACAACCTCGCCTCAAGGGAGACCCGTGACTAGGAGTTAAAATAACTCGACACTCGAAATAAATCGACTGAACTACGAATTTTTTACATCCGTGTTATAAAATCTGAAATTAACTATAGAATCTATAGTGCAACACAGACAGCCTCTATTAATTGATTGGTGTTTAGTATACACTTCGCTTGCCGGTCTGATGCAGCAAACGAATAGCTTAAAGCTGAAACATGAAAATCAGCAATGCTGGGTCTTTATCCTTTTTGGCCACATTACGATTATTTTGTTTTAATTGTTCAGATATGTTCGTTTATGTGTTTTGTGGATAAATAAATGTCTTTTTATTTTATTTTATTAATAAGCTCCATCCCACGAATAATGGCGTAAAGGCGTGACACCACAATTTGTTAATTTTCAGTTAAATTGCCATAGATGTAACCGAGCATGCCTAAATAATAATATTTTTACATACTCATTTTCAAAACTAAGAGGCAGTTGCCTCACGTCGAACCTATGTCGAACTCACGCTTCGAGAACGTTGACGGTGTAGAGTTGTGACGTAGTGTAAATAAATCTATTATCGACAATTGATCCTACCCATTAGTCCTACAAGGAGTGATTACTCCGCAAGGTTAGGTAGTAGAACAATAATTAGTTCAAACCATTGACTTACAATTATAAGGACGTCGGGTCCGCGCTAAAAAGTGTCCGAACTTATAGGACGTTAAAATCGTATATAGAGCGTCATTCGCGCTCTAGTTTTCGTTTGTTCGACTGACAGCGAAGCAAGCAAAATTAGACAGTACTACGATGACATCACAATTTAAATTCAACGTTTTAGCTTTTTCATATTCCTTGACATGTCACTACGTTTAAATAGGTTGACTTGGGACATTTTTTTCGTGGTTTTTGTATTAGACCCGTTGTCCATTTATTTGTAAGTCAATGGTTCAGAAATACATTTTACGAAATCACGTTATTTGAGTAGTACGCAATCTGGTTATGCCAATTGTCAAGATGTATTAGTTACCCAAACTAACAGATTTAGACGATATTTTTTACATTTAGGGAAATGAATATAAAACATTCAACTTCGACGAAATAGTCTCCTTGTAGTATAATCTTAGGTAGATTTACGATGACTTCAAACAGAATGTATCAAATATGTCTAGCAAAACGACCCATACAGTAAATTTATAAAATATACTAGCTTGTTGCTTTTAATTGGCAAGAGTTATTTGCCCAAATTATAGTTTCTCCATATAATGGTAGCAAATTCACTAAGCTGGCAACATCACGTTGACAGCGGCTGTCATCTGTCACACGAAAACAGTCTTTAGTTCTTGATTAGAAATCAACAATGGTGCGCGTGCGAGGGGGTGAAGGCGTCTTGGAGGGAGAACTTGTGAATAATAAGTTCGGCGAATCATATTGTAGCTTTAAGGGAATACCTTATGCGCAACCGCCGCTTGGAAATTTGAGGTTCAAGGTACGCTTTCAACATTTGTCAATTGTATAATATAAAAATGTTTTGTATTAACTACTTACTGATGTGTGATTACTAGACACTCTAATATTGTTATTTAGGAAATTGTTTAAAAGAGTATAAGAAGATTGAGAGTATGTATACTTATTTTTGATAGAGTATATTTATTGCATTTCGGAACTATTTGATTTCAATGTAGAGATGACACGTAGGAAGATACTTGGTGAGAGTATAGTTGCAATGCCTTTGAAGGTTCACAATGAACTTTCCACTGAAATTGGGAATTAAAATAATTATATACAATTTAAGACAACATGCGACCTCAATTATACGACATTCTGCGATTTATTATTTTATATAAAATTACGTTTTATTTGTTTTTGCGACTGGTGTTACATTAGTGGACTGCGGGAGAATAGTGTACAAAATATTGCATTAACATCTATATACAAATGAAAAGAACATCACAGTGATTCAAAATGCATCCTATAATATCTATACAATCTGCGTATCACAAAGAAATATAATTGTGAAGATCGTTACCGCGCCTCGTCTTCGATCGGGCAACATCGGTAGCCGTCGCCGCGCAGGCGAAATTCATGGTGCGGAGCGCACGAAGGAGGGGAGGGCCCGCGCAGTTCCGTGACGTGTTGGTGATGCCCACATAAATTTAAATTCGTTGATCGTACCACCTCGATTTGAGTCACTTTACAACATATGATCCTGAACTTGGAGTGTATGAAACCCTAGATTGAGAAACAAGTGCGTTTCTTCAAAAGCGTACAAACTTAATTTGAATTTGTATGGATATGACCAGCCTGCAGCACGGTAGTTGCGCGAGAGTTCCTCAAACACGTAGGTAATCCACTCTTACGCACGCCTCGCACCTTGAACTGCGCCGGCGACGGCTACCAACGATCAAATAAAAAACTATCTGTAACTAAAAGTAAGAGATTATATTATTAAACCAAAACGTACTAGTACTGTTATCATATGCTGTTTAGTTGTAAAGTTACTAATGCCGATAAACGCACCATACCAGTAACTATCATTACCCTCATTGTCCAATATTAAATTATTAGATTTGTTTTCTCTTTGCTTTAACATTGCAACTCCAAAGCATATTTGACGAAAAAAGATACAAAGATGTTTATAAACCTCATTCTAACCGCAACAACAATATCATAAAGTAATCAATAAATAGCGAAGTCATGGTGAAAACACTAAATTTTTTTTAATGGCATCATATTAATTTATCACAAATCCAAGGGCTACAGAAAAATAAATCCATTGATAACACATCCATGATAGTGGCATAAGATCAAAAGTATAATTTTATCTATTTTCGATTACAGGCTCCACAGCCGCCGGAGCCATGGGAAGGAGTTCGGAAAGCAACTAAGTTTGGACCTATTTGCTATCAAGCAGATGTATTCAAAAAAGATGCACCTTCAGGTAGCGAGGACTGTTTATACCTCAACGTTTATACTCCTAACATCAAACCAGATAAACCTCTGCCTGTTATGTTCTGGATTCACGGAGGTGGTTTTTACTGGGGAAGTGGCAACGACGATTTCTATGGTCCCGATTTCCTTGTCAGACAAGAAGTGATACTAGTCACTATAAACTATAGACTTGAAGTTGTAGGCTTTCTTTGTTTAGGTACTGAAGATGTGCCTGGCAATGCTGGCATGAAAGACCAAGTTGCAGCCCTGAAATGGGTTAATAAGAATATTAGTAATTTTGGAGGTGATCCTAATAATGTTACAATTTTTGGTGAAAGTGCTGGTGGTGCTTCCGTTGGTTTTCATTTGATATCACCAATGTCTAAAGGACTTTTCAAAAGAGCAATACTTCAAAGCGGAGTTTGTAGTTGCTCGTATGCCCAGACTTTTCAATATCGAGAGAACGCTATAGCACTCGCAAAAAAACTTGGCTTTGATTCAGATGATAATAAAGAACTGTACGAATTTTACAAGTCACAACCCATTGAGTCATTGATTTTAACCAATGAACCTTCAAAGCACACCAAAGCCGATACACCAGTTACTGAATTGAAATGGTCAGTTGTCAGTGAAAAGCAATTTGATGACAATGAAAGATTCTTTTATGGCAATGTTCATGAAGCGCTTCGTAATAACTTTCATGATGATGTAGAAGTTATGGCTGGATACAATGAAGATGAAACTGTTATTATGGTAGGTGCAATAGGAATTAATGGCGTACGAGCCCAGATAGAGAACGCGAACAACTTGCCAAAGTTCTTTGTACCGAAACCATTTACCATAAATTGCTCCGATAAATTACAATTGGATATTGGAAGTAAAATGAAGGATTATTATTTAAAAGGCGAACAAGCCTCTATGAATAACTTTGAGCAAATTTTAAAATTCTATGCTTGTGATATATTAATATACGAAGTGGCTAAATTCTTGAAGTTAAGTGCACAGAGAAACATAACTTATTCTTATAAATTCACTTGCAAATCGAAAAGGAACCTTTTTAGTAAAATTTTCGGAGTGGATAAAGTATACGGAGATAGAATATTTACCTGTCACGCTGATGATTTAGCTTACCTATTTGAGATTAATTACATGAAACAGGAATTCGAGAAGGACTCAAAGGAATTTAAGATGATCGAACAAGTGATAAAGTTGTGGACCAATTTTGCCAAATTTGGGTAAGAGAACTTAGATATATCATGTGTAATTGTTAGACGAAATTTACAATATACTATAGAAAGACCGAGTTGAAAATCAATACTATGAAATCAGTTCAACAGCTTGTCAATTAATTACTTTGTTTGCAAAAAAAAAAACAATGTCTTTTTTATTAATCCTCAAATGACGTTCTTTCGCCAAAAGCACATTAAAATCACGGCTTTACCTTGGCCTGCCTTAAAACTTAATGGTTAATTATAAATATATCAATTTGTTCTTCAGCAATCCGACTCCAAATTCTGATTTGGGCGTGCAATGGCCCGAATACACGGTGGAAGACAAACACTACTTGGATATCGGTGAACAGCTGACTGTAGGCACCGACCTCGACGGAGAAGAGATTCAATTCTTTGAAAATATTTTTTTGGAGTATCTCCCACAAAAATAACTTCGAAGTACATGGTGTTCATGAAAGTGTTATTTTGTACTTGGACAATCAAAACAAAACTTGAACTTATATGTACATTCTGGTTTTTCAGGACGTCAATATTCAAACGTAGTCGTTAAAACATAAAATATACTCCCATGAAAAATCTACGAAATGTCGCTTACGCCCTTTTTACAAAACAGCGACAATTATAATCCTTTTGTCTGAATTTGTTTAAAGTTATAATTATGTATGTATTTTTTACAGTTATTAAAATATATTTCCCTGTACCTTTATTGTACAATTGTTTATGAATAAATAATGTACTGCTTAATCCATTAAAGTTTATACACCTATATACGTCATGTATATTACATATACATGATGACATTTTCCACGTAAAACAGACGCACGCTTGGCCACAGTGTTTTGTTATAAATAAAAATAACTAATATTACTGCAATAATAAAATATAAATGTAGTACGAAAAGTTTTAATTTTTCTTTATTCCCAAGCCTTTATTACTTTGTTAATAAATAAATAAATATCGAGTTCTTAGGTTTTCGCGTTTGTTACACATAGGAAATGAAACTATATTCCGGATTTAAATCCCGTATATTTGTTTTTTCAAACAAACCGACGTTTCGGGCCCTTTACAGGTCCCATGGTCACTGTTGACTGAGGTGGTACAGTCTTCAACAAGTTATGTCTAATATTGATGCCTATTTTTTCACTATAGTTACAATAGTTATTAATTAAATACCTTATTTTTAATTTTACAAAGAAATATTCCAATTTACGCTACATTAAGTTTCACAAATTATTTTATTGAATAAATTTTTTATTAAGTTCAATTTATTACTAATTAATAATAGAAATTAGAATAAACTAGAACATATTAATTAGTACTGCAGTCTTATGTCTGTTTGGGATTTTTCATTTTTGATTTTTGAGTTTGGAAACGCGAAGTACGCAATCTGTTAAGCGCATGAGCATCAAATATTGAACGTATACGAAACAGTCTCCCTCTCTTGTAATCTTCACTAGATTCGTGATGACTTCAAGAGGAATGTATCAAAGAGAATAAATGTAGTATTAATAGCATTGCACGAAACGAGCCATATAGTGTGTTGCATATTCATATATATTATAATGAATAATAATAGTAAAAACTAAGCTCATTTTTAACTCACTCGTTACATTTAATGGACTAGAATAACAGACGGATTAAGTTACCTTCAAGGATAGATAGAGTTAGTGCAACGAAAAGCGCAGGAATAAATAATATAAATAATAAAATCTCTATTTCTTAAACAATAGTGGCTGGAGCCTCCTTTAAGCAAAGCCTGTGTCAGGAGGCACCGTTCTTCATTCGCTACACGTATTAAATTACATAAACCAACTAATTATTCAAAACACAGTTCTCATTACATCGTTCAAGATTACAAAAATATTAAAATTATTGAGTGTAAGTGCGTGTGTGTGTATGTGTACCTACGTGTATTTAAGAGTGGTTATCAAGCAGAGCCTCAACTTTGTCACATGTTCTCCCCGAATCCATTACTCTTTTTACACTCATAATACATTTTTCTGTGCATTTTTAATTCCTTATTCAAAATGTTGTATATATTGGCCGCACGTTTGTCGTATTGCCTACCTGCAAATACAGTGTTGGTACTTGGAGTTGGTATTACAAGATCTTGCCGTCTTTTCTTTCTGATGCTATGGTGATATGCTAAAGCTTTTCTTTTCTTTTTAACACTATGCTAGTCATTTACAATTTTCTCACCGAGGGGAGCTCACACAAGTTGTACAACTGTTCAGTACAAAACCTCATCTTCATAAAATACATGATCTTAATCAATGCGTTGAGCACGTTCTACATCAAGAAACCTCGTTTTCCCCCCACAACCCCAGACAGGTATGCAATACACTAAGATAGACTGTAGGTGCTAAAGATACGTGTAATTCTTTCAGCAGGTCTCTAGAGGCCCAGCGACTATTGTTGGCACCACATGCCTTAGTGATTTAAAATCCATATTAATTTCCTAATTCGCAGGACAACATGTTCAGGGTGTGGGTACCAAGAGAGCTGCCAGTCTATAATAACTCCCAAATATTTAGTTTGTGCAATCTTCCGAAGGACGAGGCAACTACAACTTGCTCTTGCTCTGTTCTGCTCCCAGCCTTGTTCAGCGGTGTACATAACAGCTTCCCAGGAGACTTAAGACCTGCAGTTCCACGACTAGCAACACATTTGGGATACAAAGTGTAGGATCCTTAATATACCATTTTAGTAACGGCCCTTTAAGGATTTATTTGATCATAGATTAAGGTAGTCAAAGGATTTGTGCACTGTCAAAACTACGTAGCGCTATATCAATGGGTCACCACAGGGTTATATCTATCATATAATAATATAAATCTATATCGAGTTCTTAGGTTTTCGCGATTGTTACACATAGGAAATGAAACTATTTTTTCGTGTCTATATCCTCTAAATATCCTCTATTTAGATCCGAAATAATAGTTTCATTTCCTATTTACTTTACTTGCTACGATAATTAATTACTACTTGTAAAATAAAATACTGCAAAAGCTAATTTGTTAATAATTTATTACCCGTGTATATATAAGAAACTGCCCAATTTATGATGTTTCCATATTCAGTAGTGAATCTCCTAAGTTGGCAAAATCACGTTGATAACAGTTATCGGTTATATTTATATATAATATTCCGAAATCATAATGATGTTTAGTTCTTAATTAGAAGTCAACGATGGCGTACGTGCGAGTGAGTGAAGGCGTCTTGGAGGGAGAAGTTGTGAAAAACATGTTCGGCGAATCATATTGCAGCTTCAAGGGAATACCTTATGCAGAGCCGCCGCTTGGCAATCTGAGGTTTAAGGTGCGCTTTCAACATTTTCTCAAATTTATACAAATTAAGCCTAGGCATAAATTAATTACTTTTGTGTCATTATTTATAACAATATCGTGTCTTCCATATGAAGCGAGATCATAGTGAACACACAGATCCAAGAACAGGTAGAGAGCATCAAAGCGTCTGTATTACCTAACGATATCTATGCCATTAGTAAGAACAAAAGTGATAGGAATTCACAAAGCAACATATTATGATTGAGCCCTTTTGATTAAAGTTTTCACTTATTTGAAAACTGAATTATACAATTCATTCAGGTAAAGTAACTGTACTTTAACCATTACATTATTTATATAGTACTCATGTACTAATATAATGAATACTAGAAAATAATATCACCTCTACACATGTAATTTTTTTTATTTATTTAAACACTTTATTGTACCACAAAGTAAATTACAAATTTTCAGAATCAATTTAAATGTTGGTGTACAAAGGCGAGCTTATCCCATAAAGAGATTTCTTCCAACTAACCTTTGAAACTCTGAGAGGAAAGTTGGTTTTTGGGGTGGCAAAAAATAGATAAATAAAGAAATGGAATATACTATTCTCAATAAATACACAGATAAATTTATTACGTCAAATGTACATTAATACAAACAAAATCTATAATAAAATGAATGCATAAAATAAAACTATAAAAAAATATATCAAGTGTAAATAAATATTTCAAAAGCTCTAACATGTGGAGCCTGAACAATCCCAAAACTTCAAAAGAACACCCTTGAAAACCCGAACCGAAGGCGACTGTCTGACCTCGACTGGGAGAAGGTTCCACTTACGGGCAGCATTTACTGTGAACGAGTCCGAATATTGTTGTGCACTTTTATTTTGATGTTTTGTTAACAGTTATATTAAAAGTGGACTACAGTAATCCTACGTTAATACAATAGGCGTTAATATATTAGTATAAATATATAAATAAGTAGCTATGGTATAGCACGCACTAAAAATATTTAAAAAAATATATGATTTCCTGTTAACGGCTACCACTCTGATCTGCCACTCAGAGGTCCCAAGTTTGATTCCCAGGCCATAAGAAATATTTATATGACTTACATTTATTTCTCTCGTGAGTTTGGATGTAATTTGTTGTTGTCTATATGCGTGTCCATGGCACCCGCGGCACAGGGTTTCCCTAGCGCGGAACTATGAGTATATGCATGTGTGTTCTTCAGATATTGAGAGTGTTAATAGATTATCTGCTAGAGAGTATTTCATTACATATATGTATAATAATGATCCACTTCATTGTACACATACAGACCACTGTTAGAGTTTTTTTTGTAATATCAAGTGACGGGATGAACAAGTCGTGCACCTGATGGTAAGCTACACGCCTAACCATAACAGTTGTAGTGCCACTCAGAGCTTCAAATCGCAAAGATCTGAGGGGCACTGCCACTGTGCCCGTCACCCTGAGACATATGTTGACAAGTCCCATGTGCCTGTAATTTCACCGGCACCCTTACCCTTCAAAACCGGAACACAGTAATGCTAACATTACTGCTTGGCAGCAGAAATAGGTAAGGTGGCAGTACTACCCTGGACGAACTCTTTCACAAGGAGCTCTACTGCTTAAAACACACGAAAGAAAAAACGATATAGCGAAAAGATCAGACATTCATGCATATAACATAAAAATATAAATAAGCATACACTAGTAACAAATAAAACCGGATTAGTATCTTAAAATGATAATACTAATAATTTTTAGGCTGGCTTTTTACTGTCAATGTGTTGCCAGACTTCCATTCTGTTGTTATCAGCCGATTCTACTATATTACTTTGTTGCTAAGAAGAAAATAGCGGTTCAATAAGGTCCAAAATCACGGTGGATATACGGATTTTGTCCACTGTCATATTATTTGTTACAAAAGTATTGTATAACAAAGCATAATGTTTATAGACAAGTAAGCTACTGGCACAAAAACAAAACTAACATTTGATATATTTTCAATTCCAGGCTCCACAGCCGCCCAAGTCATGGCAAGGAGTTCGGAAAGCAACTGAGTTTGGACCTATTTGCTATCAAGCTGATTTATTCAAGAAAGAAGCGCCTTCAGGTAGCGAAGACTGTTTATATCTTAACGTTTATACTCCGGACACCAAACCTGACAAACCTCTGCCTGTTATGTTCTGGATTCACGGAGGCGGTTTATACTGGGGAAGTGGCAACGACGATTTCTATGGACCTGATTTCCTTGTCAGACAAGAAGTGGTACTGGTCACTATAAACTATAGACTTGGAGCACTAGGCTTCCTTTGTTTGGGCACTGAAGATGCGCCTGGCAACGCTGGTATGAAAGATCAAGTTGCAGCCTTGAGATGGGTTAATAAGAATATTAGTCATTTTGGAGGTGATCCAAATAATGTTACAATTTTTGGCGAAAGTGCCGGTGGTTGGTCCGTTGGTTATCATTTGGTAACGCCAATGTCTAAAGGACTTTTCAAAAGAGCAATACTACAAAGCGGAATTTGCAGTTGTCCGGATGCTCAGACTGTTGAATATCGAGAAAACGCTTTAGCGCTCGCAAAAAAACTGGGCTTTGATTCACGAGACGACAAAGAACTGTACGAATTCTACAAATCACAACCCTTTGAGTCATTGATTCTAACCAATGAGTCGTCAAGCCACTCTGAAGCCGATACACCTGTCCTTGAATTGAAATGGACAGTTGTCAGTGAAAAGCAATTCGGTGACAATGAAAGATTCTTTTATGGCGATGTTCTTAACGCCCTTCGTAATAATATTCATGATGGTGTAGACATCATGGTTGGATACAATGAAGATGAATCTGTTGGGATGGTAAGTATGATGGGAATCAACTACGTACAAGCCGAGATAGATAAGGCGAACAACTTGCCAAAGTTCTTTGTACCGAAAGCATTTACAAATTACTCCGATAAATTACAATTGGAAATTGGAAAAAAAATTAAGGATTTTTATTTAAAAGGTGAACCAGCTTCGATGAATAACTTTGACCAAATCTTAAAATTCTACAATTGTAATTTATTAATATACGAAGTGGCTGAATTTTTGAAGCTTAGCGCGCAGAGAAACAAAACTTACTCTTATATATTCACTTGTAAATCGAAAAGGAACCTCTTTAGTCAAATTTGTCAAGTGGACAAATTTTACGGAGACAGAATGTTTACATGTCACGCTGATGATTTAGCTTACCTATTTGAGTTTAATAACATGAAACAGGTACTCGAGAAAGACTCAAAAGAATTTAAGATGATGGAGCAAGTGACAAAGTTGTGGACCAATTTTGCCAAATTTGGGTAAGAGAAATTAGATACTTAGTCATTCGTAGTAATTAAGTTTCATAAACCAATAGACCAAGTTCAAAATCAATATTATAAATTAAATTCCAAAGCTTGTCAATTACGTTATTTGCCAAAAAAACATTCTCTTTTTCATTTCGCAAATTACGCTCTTTCGCTTACAGCACATTAGGGTATTGAAATTTTGTCCGTCTTAATATTGCATGGTCAATTATAAATCTTAATTTCTTATGTACTTACCTCGTGTTTCATATTTTAATTTATTCCTCAGCAAACCAACTCCAAATTCTGATTTGGGTGTGCAATGGCCTGAGTACTCGGTGGAAGATAAACACTACTTGGATATCGGTGAACAGCTGACTGTAGGCACTGACGGAAATGAGGTTCAGTTCTGGGAAAATATTTTCATGGAGTATCTTCCGCAAAGATAACTTCGAACTTCGGAGAGATATTCAATACGAGCAAATTAATAACTATATGCACTTGCCTAACGATATACAAATCAATTTCATCAATCATGTAGTCGTTTTCATCTAATTATTGTGAATGTGTTATGTCGTGTCCTTGGATAATCCAAAACAAAACTGGAACTCACATATATTTTTGCTACTTTATTTTTAACTCGATTTTTCATTGCATTCACCATAATGTATGTTATAATAGTAGTAATGTATATTATACGTGTATATTTTATATTTGTACTAATTGTTATCAATTGATTTTGTGTAAATTATGTACTGCTAAATCCATCAAAGTTACCTCTGTATATAAAGGTATGTATTTTTATGTAATTTTATGCCATAAAATAAATGTGTATATTCAGATGCTTGCTTGACCACAGTGTTATCCGCTGCTAAGCAATGATGGAGATAAAGCAATGTTAAAAATTACTGTAATGATAAATATAGCACGAAAATTATAATAAATATTTTTCATCAACGAGCTTGTCGAAATATTTCACACCTTCTTCTGGGTCTGGCAACTACAACGAGTCAGACATATATAACTAAATTAGTTTTTGAGTTCTGAAACACGAAGTACGCAATCTGTAAAAGGCACGTTATAATGCTGAAACTTAAAAAATGAGCATGAAGTATTGGATGTATATGAAACAGTCTCCCCTAAAATCTTAGATAGATTCGTGATTATTTCAAATAGAATGTATCAAATGTCATAGAGAATAAATGTACTTTCCTAATGTTACACAAGCAATACTATGAGCATTACTCTGCACTAGGGAAACACTGTATCGCGGGTGTCATGGACACACACATAGACAACCACAAATTACACCCAAACTCACGAGACAAATAAATGCAGGCCATACAATTATTTCTCCCGGCCCGGGAATCGAACCCGGGACCTCTGCGTGGCCGTCCAGCATGGTAACCGTTCGGTCACAGAAGCAGTTGAAGGGTTAAGTGTGCTGGTGAAATTAAAGGCACATGAGACTTCTCAACTTTTATATCTCAAGGTGTTAGGCGCAGTGGCAATGTCCTTCAGATCTTTGCGATTTAAAGCTCTGAGTGACTGAAACTACTATGGAGAAGCGTGTCACTTAACATCAGGTCCACGACTTGTTCGTCCCGTGACTTAGTATCATAAAAACACCCAAGATGAGCCATACAATGTGTTGCATATTCGTGTACTGGTCCAAATTAACGTACCGGTAACCCAGTGCCGTAAAACACATCATGATTTTGAGCTTACTCGTTGCATGTAAAAACTAGAATGATAGACGGGAGATACGTTACGTGTAAGGGTAGATAGAGTCAGAGCGATAAGAAGCACAGAGACTTGTTTTTGTTTTTATAATATCAAGTGAACCCTTCAAAACCGGAACGCGGTAAAGCTGTCCTTACTGCTTGGCAGCAGAAATAGGCAAGGTGGCAGTACTTCCCTGTACGAAATCTTTCACAAGGAGCTCTACTGCTACTTAAGATCTTATCTTAAGATCTTGTCTCCCACGACCAGCAACGCATTTGGGTTATTATGAACGAGATCATTAGTATTTTATTATTAATTTATTAAATTCTTGGAATGGCACTTTTCCGGTATAGATCTATTTGACCATAGATTGAAATAAAGACGGAATTTGTGCACTGTGATTGTTCTAATAATTACTTCTCATTTGGTAAAAAATCCACTCAGCTAGCAACATCGCATTAACGTATATTATTCTACAGGTAATCATTATTATATATTGTCTGATCTTATTTTCTCGGAAGTTGACAGTATAGTCGCTTTAAGACAAAGTTGTTTTGAATAAAGAGAAGAAAATTCCGATGAAGTTTTCGGGAACCAATTAAGTATACAGGATATTAGTACGCCCTACATAGTCTCTATACGTGTGGATCACAACAACTCTCAACAGATATGTATATAATACTAAATAATGCTAAACAATATCCCAAATCATAAATTTAATAATTACAGATCAAAAACTTGGAAATTATAACAGCTTTCGTACTCAATTTCAAAAGTCATAAAGCGACTGAACCTAAGCCGAACTGTCGCTGCGAGTAGGTTGACGATGGAGAGTTGAGATGTGGCATTGTCGATAAATTTACTATCGATACATATCACTCGTTAGTCTTCGAAGGGTGATTACATCACAAGATTATTTTAGCTAAGCTAGATTAACATGAGTGAAGAAATCGTTAAAGAAAGTCGTTAATAACCAAAAACATAGATCTGCAACAAGCTAACAGATAGATTCGTAAGGTCTGCCGGTTCTTTCCGTGGCTTAACTGGCAGAGCATCTGGCCCATGCAGTCCATATTGCCTGAACCCTCAGGCAGTATGGACTGCACGGACCAGATGCTGGTCCGAATCCAGCCGAATCAAATGATTTTTTTCTTAGTCTTTCCATCTTTGTTATAATAATTATAACAAACGCAATTATGAAAAACAAATAATATGATTATAAAAAAGAAATAAATAAACTCGTGGATTAAATTTCACAAAAACAATTGAATATCATGGTAGAAAACATAATGACATTCAATAAACTTAAAAATTACTAGAATGATACAGTTGAATAAAAATGCAGTCAGATGAGCGATCGGTTTTTGAGTTTTTGAATTCAATCTGTTTAAATACGATACCAATGTCCAAACTGAATAAATTTATATGAGAAGATATTCTGTATTTACAGCAATGAAATATTAAATGAATAAAAGTATGAAATATTCAACAGCTACAAAACAAACTCTCCTCGACCTTACAGTCATATGTAAAATCTTGATGATATAAAATAGCTCTAATAGTTCTAATACAAATCCATCGATAAACTGGCTGTTCTTTCACTAGCGCGATATAAAACGAGCCATAATTTGGATTGCATAATCATAAAAGAGACTTATTAACGTTCCCGTAATCCAGAGCCGTAAAACACCTGATATTGCGCTCGCTCGTTGCTTTATAATGGGCCAAAATGACAGACGAAAGATACGTTCCGATGAAGGGTGGATAGAGACAGCCAATCGTAAGCTCCTGTGCTTTTAACTTAAGATCTTGTGTCCAACGAGTAGCAACGCATTCGGAGTAACAAGGATATTTTCTTAATATTGCAAGTTTCTTTAAAAAGAAATTAACGACACATAATGTTGGACTCGTCCGTTATGTTTCATAGATGAATATGACAATATTCCCACGTTTGATACCGATTACACATTTGTAAATATAATTTTAAAATGAAACAATAGACCTATAAACTTATAACACACATTAAGCTGGTATGTAATCCCTTAAAACCCGTAAATACATATCTCTTTATAACTTTCCGCCCGTTACTTCACTTCCATCTTCCTTTTTTCGAACAACCCTACTAATATCCGTTTATGTTACCATTATGTCGTATCGGCGACATTTTTTTTAATCTAATAGTTATTGCAAGTAGTAATAAGCATTTTAAAGTAAACATTTTTGGATAACTGAAATGTAAATGCACTCTCTGCTTGTGATTCTATGATATGAACCTAACAGCCCACTTTGACGTTATTTCGGCTATTAGTACGGCATACTATGTTTTTTTCTCTCGTATATGATTTTTAGAACTAAGTCATTTTTAGAAATATTAATAATGACCACCGTGTTTAAATTATTTACGAACAATATTATTTGCTCCAATGCACAATTATTTAGTAATAATAGTTGACACAATAAAGATTTTATAGTCAGTGAAAACGACATTGCAAATGTTCTTAACCAGAAATATCAGTTTATGTATAACAAATAAAGGAGGAGCAAATATTAAGCCCTGAAGAATACCTAAATTTATTAGGTACATAAAAATCAGTCAAAAAAACAAACACAAAAATATCTAATACGTAAGTAATTTTATGAATTATGTCGCAAACTATTTTGTACACTATTTTATACTTCAGTTACTAAAACTTTTTTTACGCTTGTCCAGTTCTTTCCCGTCGAATCAGTTTGATACGGGTTGTGTCAGACGCAGTTTAATAGCTGAAAGTTGTATCAAATAAGGTTCAATCCCTTCTACAAAAAAGATTTATAATATGTACTTATAACTATATCATTTTTAAGAATAAAATTGTTAGAACATTGCTTACCTCAAAAAAGTGCTGAGATGTTATAATGTGACGTCGAACTTGTTAACCTGAAACAGAGAATTTTGTCTATCAATTTCAGTTGTAATATCAATTGTTAAAAGACTTTAAATTTTATCTAGCTTCCAGGGATTGAATTTTAACTGCCTGTTACAATGCTAGTTTGCCACGAAGGGGCTCCGAGTTCCATTCCCTAACCGGGAAAAATATTTGTATAGCCTACGTTTGTTTCTCCCGCAAGTTTGGGTGTCATTTGTGGTTGTCTATGTGTGTGTCCTTGGCACCCGCGACACAGCATTTCCCTAGAGCGGGGCTATGAGTGTGTGGGCTATAGTTATAGTGTTATATAGTACTGGTATAAACCCATATCTTTCTACTGCTGGGCACATGTCTCATCCAGGTCTTAGGCCATAATCCACTTCATGGGCCAAAGCGGTGGGTACACTTTTATAAACCTTCTTGACCATGTGTACTGTAAAATTAAACTCCGTTTTATCTGTTACATCTCACATTCAATTTTTTGTTTTTTAAGGTACAGTCAAATATAGAAATAGAACTATAATTTTTAAAACAAAGCCCAAAAAGAATCATACGGTGAAGAATGGTACGATACAGGTCAGCAACTTTTACCTTCATCGATTAACAAATGATGGTAAATACCAGACACTTTCATAAGAAAGAGTGAATGTAAACCTTACACATAATCCGCTAACCAACATATTGAACAAGTACCGAAATACAAATTCATACCTATAAAGTCAATGAGCACCGAATCGAACGCCTATGTAAAATCAAATGAAGGCCATTAACGGGTATCGCAAATTAATTTATCGCAACAGGGGACTGCCTGTTGTTGTGTAGCTCCAACTGCTCTAACTATCCCTGCTTATACACTATAGGTACA